CTCTTGACGGTGGCACTAGTCTGAAATTCCAATTCCAGTCTTTGGAACATCTCATATGTTCTGCGACGTTTCAAAAATGTCTTTGGTGCCATAATTCTAAACCGTTAGTATTATGTACTTAACTATCACGTAGTCATCAAAATATGTATGTCAGATGTTTCCCAACATCTACAGACGATGCCCGAGGTTCAACACACTGAGCGGTGCATTAAGGACATAGCCCTTCTGTGCAGCAATGAGGACAATCCTCAGTTCACGGACCCAGTCTGCATAATTGCTACTGTCAACTCTCAACTAAATTTTCTCTAGGAACATATCTAAAACAGTAGAACCAAAGCGTGAGCTGCGACATAATTTGCAAAGACCTTTTGACTATGTTCAAGATAATTAAGTTCATCTAATCAAATTATTCAATGAACTCCCACTTAGATAGACATCCCTCTAGTCATCTAAGTAATACATGATCTGAGTCAACTAGGCCGTGTCTGATCATCACGTGAGACAGACTAGTCATCATCGGTGAACATCTTCATGTTGATCGTATCCACTATACGACTCATGTTCGACCTTTCGGTCTTCCGTGTTCCGAGGCCATGTTTGTACATGCTAGGCTCGTCAAGTTAACCTAAGTGTATTGCGTGTGTAAATCTGGCTTACACCCATTGTATGTCAACGTTAGAACCTATCACACCCGATCATCACGTGGTGCTTCGGAACAACGGACCTTAGCAACGGTGCACAGTTAGGGGGAACACTTTCTTGAAATTATTGCAATGGATCATCTTATTTATGCTACCATCGTTCTAAGCAAATAAGATGTAAACATGCCAAACATCACATGCAAATCATAAAGTGACATGATTTGGCCAATATCATCTTGCGCCTTTGATCTCCATCTTCGAGGCGCGGCATGAACACCATCGTCACCGGCATGACACCATGATCTCCATCATCGTGTATTCATGAAGTTGCCTCGCCAACTATTACTTCTACTACTATGGCTGATGGTTAGCAATAAAGTAAAGTAATTACATGGCGTTTTCATTGACATGTAGGTCATAAATAAGTTAAGACAACTCCTATGGCTCCTGCCGGTTGTCATAATCATCGACATGCAAGTCGTGATTCCTATTACAAGAACATGATCAATCTCATACATCACATAGATCATTCATCACATCCTTTTGGCCATATCACATCACATAGCATACCCTGCAAAAACAAGTTAGACGTCCTCTAATTGTTGTTGCATGTTTTTACGTGGCTGCTATGGGTTTCTAGCAAGAACGTTTCTTACCTACGCAAAACCACAACGGTGATATGCCAATTGCTATTTACCCTTCATAAGGACCCTTTTCATCGAATCCGATCCGACTAAAGTGGGAGAGACAGACACCCGCCAGCCACCTTATGCATCAAGTGCATGTCAGTCGGTAGAACATGTCTCACGCAAGTGTACGTGTAAGGTTGGTCCGGGCCGCTTCATCCCACAATGCCGTCGAATCAAGATAAGACTAGTAACAGCAAGCAAATTGAACAAATCATCGCCCACAACTACTTTGTGTTCTACTCGTGCATAGAATCTACGCATAGACCTAGCTCTGATACCACTGTTGGGAATCGTAGCAGAAATTTAAAATTTTCTACGCATCACCAAGATCAATCTATGGAGTAATCTAGCAACGAGAGAGAGGGAGTGCATCTTCATACCCTTGAAGATCGCTAAGCGGAAGCGTTACAAGAACGCGGTTGATGGAGTCGTACTCGCGGCGATGCAAATCGCGGAAGATCCGATCTAGCGCCGAACGGACGACGCCTCCGCGTTCAACACACGTAAAGCCCGGGGACGTCTCCTCCTTCTTGATCCAGCAAGGGGAGAGGAGAAGTTGAGCGAGAACTCCAGCAGCACGATGGCATGGTGGCGATGGAGCTCGTGGTTCTCCAGCAGGGCTTCGCCAAGCACTATGGAGGAGGAGGAGGTGTAGGAGGAGGGAGGGCTGCGCCAGGGAAGGGGTGCGGCTACCCTCCCACCCCTCCACTATATCTAGGGGCAAGGGGAGAGGGAGGCGCCCTAGGATTTCCCTTAGGGGCGGCGGCCAGGCAGATTGGATCTCCCTAGGGAGACTTGCCCCCCAAGCCAAGCAGGTGGAGGCTTGCCTCCCAAGCCAGGTGGAGGCGCCCCACCTTCACAAGTAACATGGGAAAGGGTGTGGGGGGCGCACCACCCCTTAGTGGGCTGGTTTGCCCCTTCCCCTTTGGCCCATGAGGCCCTCCAACACTTGTCGGGGCTCCCGAAACACCTTTCGATCATGCTGACCATAGCCTGGTACCCCCAGAACACTTCCGGACTCCAATACCCTTCGTCCAATATATCAATATTCACCGCCGGACCATTTCGGAACTCCTCGTGACATCCGGGATCTCATCCGGGACTCCGAACTACCTTCGGTAACCACATACTATTTCCCATAACAACTCTAGCGTCACCGAACCTTAAGTGTGTAGACCCTGCAAGTTCAGGAACCATGCAGACATGACCGAGACACCTCTCCAGCCAATAACCAATAGCGGGATCTAGATACCCATATTGGCTCCCACATGTTCCACGATGATCTCATCGGATGAACCACGATGTCGGGGATTCAATCAATCCCGTATACAATTCCCTTTGTCTATCGGTATGTTACTTGCCCGAGATTCGATCGTCGGTATCCCCATACCTCGTTCAATCTTGTTACCGGCAAGTCTCTTTACTCGTTCCGTAATGCATGATACCGTGACTAACTGCTTAGTCACATTGAGCTCATTATGATGTTGCATTACCGAGTGGGCCCAGAGATACCTCTCCGTCATACGGAGTGACAAATCCCAGTCTCGATTCGTGCCAACCCAACAGACACTTTCGGAGATACCTGTAGTGCACCTTTATAGTCACCCAGTTACGTTGTGACGTCTGATACACCCAAAGCACTCCTACGGTATCCGGGAGTTGCACAATCTCATGGTCTAAGGAAATGATACTTGACATTAGAAAAGCTCTAGCAAACGAACTACACGATCTTGTGCAATGCTTAGGATTGGGTCTTGTCCATCACATTATTCTCTTAATGATGTGATCCTGTTATCAATGACATCCAATGTCCATGGTTAGGAAACCATAACCATCTATTGATCAACGAGCTAGTCAACTAGAGGCTTACTAGGGACATGTTGTGGTCTATGTATTCACACATGTATTACGGTTTCCAGTTAATACAATTATAGCATGAACAATAGACAATTATCATGAACAAGGAAATACTCTAGATGCATGCTGGATAGCGGTCGATGTGTGGAGTAATAGTAGTAGATGTAGGCAGGAGTCAGTCTAATTGTCTCGACGTGATGCCTATATACATGATCATATCTAGATATTCTCATAACTATGCTCAATTCTGTCAATTGCTCAACAGTAATTTGTTCACCCACCGTAAATACTTATGCTCTTGAGAGAAGCCACTAGTGAAACCTATGGCCCCCGGGTCTATCTTCCAGCATATTAATCTTCCAGTACTTAGTTATTTCCTTTGCCATTTATTTTACTTGCATCTTTTATTTCTCTTTATCATAAAAATACCAAAAAAAATCCTATCATATCTATCACATCTCACTCTCGTAAGTGACCGTGTAGGGATTGACAACCCCTTATCGCGTTGGTTGCGAGGATTTATTTGTTTGTGTAGGTGCGAGGGACTCGTGCATGGCCTCTTACTGGATTGGTACCTTGGTTCTTAAAAAATGAGGGAAATACTTACGCTACTTTGCTACATCACCCTTTCCTCTTCAAGGGAAACCAATGCAGTTCTCAAGAGGTGGCTTCCGCCACCGCGTTTGGACGCCACACGGACCACACTGTCTTCGATGGGCAGCGACGGCTGCCCTAGCGCCGGATCCATGCACCATTTGGATAGACGCAATGGATTCCCAATAGAAGGAGTTCGAGCGCTGCCGTGCACGGGCCTCCTCCCGGGTGCGGTGGAGCGCAAGCCGGACGACCATCTCCTCCTCGGGACTGCGTGGGAAGAGCTCGGGCTCGACGGGCCTGGAGGTGAAGGACTCGGATCCGCTGCCCGCCATGCCGGAGATGACCCGACGTCGGTGGAGACGAGCTTGGATGGCGGAGGGGAGTGGAGTGAAGTGACTAGAGTTTGGTCCGAGAGCGGATGGAGAGGAATATATGTGGGCCAGCGTGGGCCGTGTCTGACATGACAGGCGTGCCGGTCACGTCCGAGGGTCCCATATCCGCCCCATATTTAAACTAAATATGAAGGGTGCCGGTCAACCCAGACGTTTAAGAGCCGTTTGAGATGCCCGTCTGAGTCAAGATTTGAGACACCCGGCTGTAGATGCTCTAATAGTCTGCATTGGAAATGTCCTACGAAGGAGGGTGTCAAAGGGTCCAAAAAAGGCTAGTGTCGTCGACGATATTGGGACTTATGCAAGCGCAGCATCGGCTCACTTATTTGTATCATTTTCAACGAAATTTGGTCGTATGGATTCATGATCAAGCGGGAGACATTTTATATGTGCAACTAAACTTACACGCTGAAATGTTTGCGCGTGCTGCATAGCCGGTATGGAAGTTCGGTGAGAGCTGGTTACATGAGGAACCCCCAATATACATTTGTCATCAGATGTTTAGTGGGCAGGGTTATGCCAGACAATGGAGAAGCTGGACTGGACACCTACTCCACAAGAGTCCCTCCAGCATTGGCTTTGCAGTAAATAAGGGTTACCCACCACGAAAATTCGTTGGCGTGCCCGAGCTCGCCTGCTCACGGTATCGGTGGGCGTCGAATACCGTGGGGATGTGGACAGTGTGTGGTATTTTAGGACGTAGAAAACGGGTAATTTAATGAGACGCATGGAAGGGGTTGGAGACGACGTTTCTATTGTGAGGACGACTGCCATCCAAGTAACAGCGGCGGCGTTATTGCCCTGTAGCAACGTGTACTGGAGGTTCAGACGGCGGTCGTAACGCGAGCCGTTGGATCATTGCACAAGATTTGGGCGCTTTGCGGGTGGGTTGTCACCATCGACGGCGGCGTCTGCTTGCACACAAGGTTGGTCATGGATTCCGCGTAGCTACCCATATCGGAGCAGTTGTCACCGCTGGCGGAACCTCCATTCTCTGGATCGTATTCTCCGACTTCTTCCAAGTTCCAACGCTGCAAAACGGGAATGCACTTCAGCCTCTCCCTCTCAAGCTTCATCCGCCACCAACGCGCCGTCGGCCCTGCCTTCCACCGAGTCCTGCGAGGATCCAGCCGAGGTTTATGGATCCATGGTTTCCGTTTCACTCTCACACTGTATTGTATTACTCGTGCCAGCACGCACCGCTGCACCAATTCATCTGAATTTCATCTCACAGAATACATCATACTAGATTTAGGTATGAATCAACAAAGGCAGCAAAATATAAACAGAATTCAGTAGCCAAGTCACAAACTCAAAAATTATTTTTTTTGTTCTCACAATAATAAACATGGGTACCACACTGACAAGTTTCAGCAACTACATCATGCAGTACTTATCAAACACTTATTATAAGACAACTGCGGTTTGAGTTAAACGGTTACATAAAGTTGAGCAGCTTAGAACAAAAACACTGAGTAAAATCAAATCACTCGCACATTGCATTTTGCTCTATGGTAGCATTTGCAACAACATGGAGTACGACCTCAAGGTTGTTGCAGGTGTTCTTCCTGTGACCACTGACGCCACAGTTCGAGCATTTTCCCTCTTTCCTTTCTTTCTGAAGAAGGTCACCTCTTTTCAGGCATGTCATGCTCTTGTGCCCTTGTTCTCGACATATACTACAAAAGCGAGTTCGCTTACTTGTCCCGCACCCAGTTCCAGCTTGTGCATTTGTGGCTGAGGTGTTCCTCCTGCTCTTTGCACCATGATCATCACATGACGGTTTATCCCTGCTGCTGGTTGGTTGACCAGGCTTTCGTTTCCAGCCTGGAGCTTTTAGTCCGACGAAATTACCGATTGTGCTACCTTCTGCGTCACTCCCACATCCGCTGTGAGTTGCGCATAGTGAAAGCGGCTATAGGAGTCAATGTATCCATTGCTGTCTTGAGGATATTCATGGCACAATTTATACGCTTCTGTGTTTGCATCCCCAAGTCGTACAGCTTCAAGAGCATGGGTGTACAAATTTGAGTGCCTACAAGTTACTGAATTCAAAGAGATGTTGTCCCTCCGAAGATGTGATAGGTGGTTGGGGAGTACATCCCTTGCGTCTTTTGTCCACCCTTTCAGAATATGTTTTGTCAGTATACAGTCTATGCTGAGGCAATCGTGGACCTGCAAGTTATTTAGTTGTTAAGTTAGTTTTTTGTCTCCGCAATACAATCTTGAATTCGAAGGCAAAATACGTTTTAAATCTCAGTACCTTAACTGAATGGCAGCATAGCAAACCCGTGTGCTCAAAATTAGCACACTCACACTTCAGTTCTTTCCCTTCTTCGGCAACTTTTACTTTGTAGACAACCCTGCACCACTTCTCATATTTCTCGGGATGATATCGTCTTACGAAATAGGTTTTGCCCTTGGTGGTCTCCTCCACCTTGTACTGCATAGATTCATATATTACTTCGCCAAATTTTTCAAACATAGCTCAGGTGTAGATTTCACTCGCGTGTAACTCGAGTGGCACGGTCATTTCCATAACTGGGGATGTCTGCACGCAGGGGAGATGCATTAGTAATATCACATGTATTTCGCATTGAAAGTATAAGAATAACTTTAGCAATCTTACTATCTTTGTACGCCTCTCTTCGTAGTTCTCACTTGCTTCCCTGTCGAAGAGAAGTCTCATGTATTGCCGGACGAATAGATGCATCGGGTAACTTGCTGGGAGTCTGGGACGTAACCCTTCAACATATGGTTGGCACTCTCACTGTGTTGGGTACTTGACATCTTTGCGCAGAATTTTCCATTGAAGTGTGGCTTTGCCCACTTCTCCCTTGTTTCGTAGATATGCGTTAAATAAGGATGCTTATGTAAACCATGGGCTTCTATCAGTTCTTTCCATGTCATCTCGAACTCGTCTACTGTCAACATGTGCTGGATTATTTTATGGAGTTCAGATATGAACTTGCTCCGTTTTGTGTAATATGGACCAAGCTGTTCCTTTGCATTCTTCAGCACATGCCATTTGCACCAACGGTGTGTTGTGTCTGGCATCACTTTTTCCAACGCAAACTCCATTGTTGTGCATTGATTTGCAAAATGGAGTCCATCATTCAGTAGTTTCACTGAATTGGGTGTTCTAAAAAAGATAGAACATCATTCCGTGTACCCGTGTACGGTAATAACGATGCGAAATATAGACACTAGTTGTCTCGAGAGAGAGACCATGTCAAGTTCCTTTGTGTCTGATTGCGAAGATATTTGGAATTTTAATTTTTGCACATATTTTTTTTGTTTCTTTACCTGTGAGCACTGAATTTTTTAGTAATACATAGTCAAAATTCTTTAGTAATACATAGTCAAAATTCTTTTGCTTAGTTCACTGAATTTTTGTTTTAAATCTGCTCCTACATGCCATGCCCGCGCCTCACATCAGACAAGCTCCAAAACACAATTGAAGTTATATTTTAATCTACGGGGGTATTGGTTGAAATGCACATACCTCTTGGTGCAGCCAGGGGCTTGGGGGTCATCTTTGCCAATTGACTGCTCTAAGTTCGGCACTGACAGGGTCAGGGTCGCTCCCTCACAAGTACTGTGTAAATCCACTTCCACTATCAACGCTGTGTCACCCGCATCGCTCATGCTGGACTCGGAGGGTGTACAGTCCGGAGGATCAGTGGGTTCGATGCGCATCATGGAGTTGCCGCCGGCTAGATCCGGCAGGGAAAACCTATGGACAAACAAGACAGTGCACTTATAGGCTGCTCTGCTACGCACACCGCCCACAAATACAAAGGATACAGCCATGGCAGCGAACATACCTGTCAATCGGATCTGATAGAATCCCAAATCTGTCGACTCCCGCCTCCGCCGTCGCCGGACAATACTTCGATGCCTTAAGGGACCTGCCTTTGGGTCACTGATATGTGGACCCAACAAGTGGCTGGTCCACATGTCAGTGACCCAAAGGCAGGTGCCTTAAAGGCACCGAAGCTGCGTCCGCCGTCGCCATAGCCTCGAGCTCCTGGAGAACTGTTGCGCGCGGCGGCCCAAGTGATATATTTGTTTTTCTTTTCTTTACGCTTGGAGTAAAGACGTGGGTGGTTGGGGCGAGGGAGCGAATCCACGCCGTCAACTTTGGACGTTCGTCGCACAAGAACGGCGTTACTTTTCGCCTGTATCTGTACCGTTCGCCTTACATGATGTACCGACAGAACAAACAAAGGGGAGCCGTGAAGATAACTCCCCTTTTAACGACGTTGCTCCTGTACGTCACTGTTCATTCGCCGTATGCGCTATCTTCATATGATCGTATTGATTGATCGGACGCACGCGGAGCTGTCTCATTGGCACGCCTTCCAGGAGCATGCGAGCCCGTCCTCTCTATCACCGTTCTCCAACCATAACTAGAAAGGACCTCCACACGGAGTGAGGCATTTTGGCTTCTAGGAGCATCTGCATCTGCGCTAAATAAAATAATCAAAACAAATACTAGCGAAATTCAAAAAAATCCAATTTTTTGGCATGATAGATAATTTGGTGCCTGATGTCGGGTTCAAATTTTAAATCATTTGAACATCTGAGTAGCTTTTGGTAAAAAAACAAATTTGAGATCTGTTAAATAGTGTACTGTTTGTATACTGTTTTCATCCAATTTGTCTTTTTTGCTGAGAGCTACTCAAATGTCCAAATGCTCTGAAATTTGGAGCGCACCTCACGCACTACATTATCTACCGCGCACAAAAAAATTGGATTTTTTTTAATTTTTTATGAATTATTTCTTGACCGAGTACAGATGAGCCCGGGCTCAGAATTGGATATTCACTCCACACGCTATTACTACTGACGATGTGGGAACTGTGGAAACACATGAATGCGGTCGTGTTTGACTGGGCCTCGCCATCAGTTGGTGCTCTTTTGCACAAAATCTCATCGGAAAGTAGAACTTAGTCATTGGCTGGACTCATAAAAGGGAACGTAAGATTATGTATTTGCAGGTCTAATACGGTGGAGCATTGGTGAGGAGTAGCCTACGTGTAGGGTGGAGTGGAGTTGTACATGTATTCGTGAGTTGTACCACGATGCGTTGTAAATGACCGGTGGACGTGTTTTTTGTCTTTCTTCTTTAATATATGATATACATACTCGTGTATATTCGAGAAAAAGATGTTTAGTGTAAAAATTTCCGATGCCATTAGATACGTCGGGTCACCATCGAAAGCATGGTAATTGCTTGTTGTAGCATGATATTTCTTTCTAACAAATTTTAAAACTACGTGGCAGTTCTTACTTTAAAACATAGGAATTCTTGAACGACAACATGGCAAATTTATCTGCTTTTGCATCGAAAATCAGAAATCCACGAGCAAACTTTAAAAATCCGACATCGTATTTTTATATTTAGAGGGATCGTGGTAGAAGCTTTGGCAATTGGAACCCGACCTTTGAGGATGAGAACGCCGGGCCTGTATGATCAGCGCACGGTACATAGCCTGGCCTGTCCGTCTCCACCAAGCCGAACATCATTGCGCTTGCCCTCGTCGTCGGAACGTCGGCGCCGTTTGCATTGTTTTGTGAGATCATTTGCGAACGGCGTCGACGTTCCGGCGACCGTATGTACGTGGAGCATGTCGCGACTCGCAAGCTCTCCTCAGTCTTGACGTGCATTACGAGCCGGCATACCGATACGTCCTCCTCGCCGTTGTTTGAATCTTGATCACGGTTTTAGAGACCAATTGTTGTATTCAGCAGTTTCCTGGGCTAGCCCATTGTGTGATTCAAATGTCCGAACCTTCCAACGTCAGGCTTGCCGCCTGGCGAGCCACGAAACTGGCCGGCGTTAGTGCAAGTCTGCTTGGACTTGGGAAAAATGTTCATCATATATTTGAAAAAATTCGATCACGCATTACAAACATATTCACCGTGTTTTACAAAAACTATCCACCATACATTCATGTATAGAAAATAGATTTGTAAATGGAAAAAAATGAGAATAAGAAAACCAAACAAAAAAAGTAAAAACCAAAGGAGAAAATAACCCATTAAAAACTAAAGAAAAACAGAATGGAAACCAAAACTGAAAAGAAAATGGAACAGAAATAGACATGAAAAAACGAACTAGCAAAAATCTGTCGAGAATCGTTCCTTGGATGAGCTCGAAAAGCATCCTGCGTTTTGGCAACAATTTGACTCTACCAACGTCAAATATAGTATTGAAAAATCTTTTTTGCAAAAAGAAGGTAATGGAGAATCCTATTTGGCAGTTATGGGCCAAATACTATACTTTTTAGGGTGTTTTTTTGTTTTTCCTCTTACATTTTCTTGTTTTCTTTATTTTAATTCGGATTATTTTCTCACAATTCATGAGATTTCTAAAATTCATGAACCTATTTGTAAAATTTCTGCATTTTTTAATTTATGAACATTTTTTCGAATTCACTAAATTTGTGATCTTTTTTCAAATCCATAAAAAAATTCAAGTTGTGATTTTTTTTCAAATACTTGACATTTATCCAAAGTTAAAAACAATGTGTGAACATTTCTTTTTACTTTTTTAATAATTGTAAACCGGTTTTTATTACTAAGCTGATTTTTTCACAAACAAGGCGAGCAACAGTAATAACTCGCGTAGAGCGTGCCTTTTTTCAAGATCGTGCCCGAGCAATCCTCCTAATGAGAGCGAGCGAGCATTTTGGGCCGTGCCCCTCGCGTGCCAGCGCTAGTGCACCAAGAGCATCTACTCATCCCCAAAACCTGTCTTAAACGTCTCGACGAACGGCCCGCTCACTAACCAGTCACAAAAAATTTATCCGAACGAGCGCCTCAAACGTCAGGAGCTCCTAACTGGCACCAAACGAAACCGTCGTACGATGAAAAATGTGCTCCCATGAGGATTCAAGCTACCACCGTCAGGATTCAAGCTAACCACTAGAGCTACTACGAGCTAGTGAATATTTACATTACAAAACAATTAAAACTTGCTGTGCTATTTCTTGCACATACATTTCAGAAAAAAACATGATTTTTTTGGGAAAAAAATCCAAACAAAATATTAAAACAATCACGAAATAGAAAAAAGTTCATGTATACAAAACTATTTATGAATTAGGAAAAAAATCATATATTTTTAAAAATCTCACAAAATAAAAAAAATCATTGATTTTGAGAAATTCATCGATTTTGAAAAAAGTTCATTGAATTTGAAAAAAAAGTTCACCAACTTTCAAAAAAGTTCATCAGATTTGAAAAAGGTTCAAAAACTTCAAAAAAAGTTTATCAAACTTGAGAAAAAGTTCATTGAATTTCAAAAAGGATTACCGAATTTGGAAAATGGTCATCGAATTTGAAAAAAGTTCATCAAATTTGAAAATATTCTCTAATTTTTTTTAAAAAAGTTCATCAAATTTGAAAAAATGTTCATAAAATCTGGTGAACTTTTTATATCAAATTAGAAAAATAAAAAAAAGAAGAAAGACAAAGGAAAAAGGAAAAGAAGAAAGAAAAACAAAAAGGAAAAAGGAAAAAGGGGGGAAAAGATAGAATAAAAGAAAGAAGAAGTTGTAGATGATCACAGAACTCAACCGGCTCGGGTGGTTAGTGAGTGTTGTGCTGAAAGCCCGTGGCGCGGGGAGGAGGGGGTGTGCGCCCTGTACCATTAAGCTATAACGAGTGGTACGAGCGCCGTTTAGGATTTGCCTCAAACGTCTAGGCTGACCGCCACCCCGCATATCTAGCCCAAATCTGTGACAAATATGAGGCGCGCGGGCGCATCCGCAACGTCGTCCTCGGCCCATGCTGGCTCATCCGACCCCATATATATTCTTCTTCTTCTGCTCGTTGGACCAAACCCTAGCCACTTCACTCCACTCCCCTCACTCCCTTCTGCCACCCAAGCTCCCGTCCGGCAATCTCTAGCCTTCTATGGCATGGTGGGTAACGGATCCGAGTCCTACATCTCCAGATCCATCCACCCCGATCTCATCCCACACAGCCCCGAGCAGGAGATGGCGATCCGGCTTGTGCTCCGCTGCTCCCGGGAGGAGGCCCTTACAACGCAGCGCTCGGCCTCCTTCCGTCGGGAATCCATTGCGTCCACCCAAATGGCGCATGGATCCGGAGCTAGGTGTGCCATCACTGCCTCACTAGAGGCAGTGGTCCATCAAGCATCCGAATGCGGTGTCCGTTAGCGCGCGGAGGCCATGGAAGCACCATGGGCGTCATCACATGCAAACATGTTGCGGCATGCCCGTCGTGCGAGGCAACATGCGCGGGAGGTGGCGGCAGCCCTCACGATGGTGGAAGTTGGCTAGACGGAGTCGCATTCTACAGCGCTCCATATGGTGCACCACTCCGGGCTTCACAACCACATTGTGGTGGATGTCGCTGGCTCGTCCCAGGACGAATCCATCATCAATATGACGTCCACCGGCACTGTCCGGGTTCCTGGCTCTAACGGGGAAGAGTAGGGAATGGGAGAGAGCGGCGCCTTGAGTCCCATGAGCCGGTTCGTGTCCCATCCCCTATTGTTCCTTGTCCGCATCCGGACCAACAATCTGGAGAGCGCTGTCGGACGCCGGACATGGGCACAATGGAGCCGGACGAACTCTGCTGAAACACTGTTTTACATTGCATGTAATAATATGAATTTGAGGTATCCGGTTGTAGAATCTAATTTGAGGTGACCGGTGACTCTCTGCGGGCATTTAAGGGGTCAGATTTTTCAAGCCCGACTGTCTAAGCTCTAACAGTCACTCAAGAGGAGATCTCAACTGGATTTGATATGTGAACTTTAATAAAGTTCAGAAATT